AAGCATACATATGTAATGTGCTTTTCAACATCATCCTTTTTAATATTTATTTTCCCTGAGACAATCCAACACAATTGTTTCTTTTAGTCTAAACTTTTCTAAACTATCCAGTTGCACTTTTTCTGAGTGTCGACTGTAAAACAGTCTTTGATTATGTTGGTTACCAATTTTTTATCCGGTTTACCACCAATTTTTTAAATTTTATTGACCTGCATAGTGATCAAAAGAAATAAGTAGTTTTCTCAATGGCTTATTAAAATTTATTTCACATACAAAAAAATCTTTTATCTATATAAATATTTTCAAATATTTCCGTAATCTCAGGATTCTGAATTCGTTTTACACCTTCGCCGTTGTCATCGTTCGCTAAATTTTACTTACCTTATACCTCCCACTCACTTTTACTATGAAGTTGCCAAAAGTAAAGAATATGTTCTTGCAGCAAATAAGTTTATTAAACAAAATAAAAGTTGTTTTTTTTGAAATAGTTTGCTAAATGAAATGCTGGTTGTAATTTTGTTAGTTTAAGTAAAATGTTTTGGAATTACCGGCAAATGAGTTTGTTTCCTATAATATTAATAAATTTGTTAAGACTATATTGGCACACTAAACATGTTGTCGTTATATATAGTATATATACTTATATTTATATTCATGGCCGGATTTACGAATTTGCCGCCCATGGGCCCAACGCATCATTACCCCGAATAACGAATGACTCAGCGAATAAGCTAGAGTCGCGCCCCACTCGCCTCGTGTACATCGACTGCCGCCCTTCTACGCAGTGACGCACTACGCAGAATATATATAGATAATTTTATATCAGACTACACTATTATTCTGCGTAGTGCGTCACTGCGTAGAAGGGCGGCAGTTATAATGTATTAAAAAACTTCTCTTCCAACTTTTTATAGTTTTAATTAGTGTATAAATCTGAGTGAGAACAAAAATTCTGCATAAAACGCTCTTGATTTTTTAGCAAAATTTTAACTGGCCTTCAAAATTTGCCGCCCTAAAAATTTGCCGCCCTGGGCCCGGGCCCATGTGGCCCATGCCTAAATCCGGCCCTGTTTATATTATATATATATAGTATATTATATACTGTATATATACTTATACTTTGCAGACAAGCTACTGAAATATAGAAAAGCAAAAGTAGGTAGGTACTTACGGTTTTCAACTATGCTTTTTGTTCACAAATCACCATAAAAATGTCTGCAGAACTATAGAAAAACCTACAGAATACTAATGGCTTGGGTAACGCAACATTCAAAATTCTTTATCTCTGATGGAGATGCATAGAACAGATGACTATTGGCGACTGGGCATTGGAGTCGCGACTTTACTTGATGTTTCCGTGACGTATTTGTATAAATATTTTGTAACGTTTTTGTGACAATTGTGACAGCTTAAGCTGCACGTCAAGAATTTTATACAAAAAGTTAAGGTAATATTATCACTATTTCGTGTGATAGGACATAATATTTCTGAAACGTTTCTTAAATATTTCTTAGCAACAAATGTAATTTTTCAGGAAATGTTGTAGAAATATTGCAGTAATGTCAAAATGTCCGCCTCCCAGAAACATTTCTTAGAAATATTTTACAACTTAAAGAAACAGAAAAAACATAAAATTGTAATAAAACTGTAATATTGCAGGAAAATATTTTATTATACAGGGTGAATTATGAAAAACGCCCCAAGCCATAACTCCTTTATTTTTAAAGATAGGACAAAACTCTTTTAATCAAAGTTACACAGTTTTTTATCATCTATTTTTTGAGATAAATTTTTATTCAATGCTGCTTTTGGTTTCACCGGAAGTGACGTCAATTTCAGGTTTTCAAATGGAACACCCCGTATATTTTTTTATTTTTGGATTCCTTGATAAATTGTCCTTCAAAAAGCTTAAATGTTCCCTTACCTAACAACAATCGTTAGTGAGATAACGACTTCCCTTAATTTATTACAGATATTTTCTCAAACAATCCACCATTCTGTTGGACACAATAACCATACCTTCTAGCTATTCCACTCGTGGCATTCAATATAAAGACTGGTGGTATTTCGTGGCAAGCGTCGATTATTTGCTGTCTTAAAACTTCCTCGTTTTCTGGACGTGTGAAATAAACAAGATCTTGTAGGTACCCCCATAGCCAAACATCGAGAGGTGTTAGGTCTGGCGATCGTGCAGGCCACCTAACTGGTCCATTTGTCCCGATCCACCTTACACCAAATTCGATGTTTAACCTTTTCACATTAATTCTAGCATTATGAGACGTAGCTCCATCTTGCTGAAAATATACTGCCATTCGTTCAGCAAGAGGCAAGTTATCAACAAAATTAACAATTTCTGTATTCAATAGTTGACTATATCTTTCTTGATTTAGCGTACCGTTTATGAAATAGGGCCCAATTAGTCGATTTCCAAAAATGCCACACCACACATTAACACTAAATCTCCACTGAAAATTTCTTTCAACAACAATTCTGGGATTTTCCTGGCTCCAATAGCGGTGAATATTTCTATTGTAAATGCCATTATTACTAAAAGTGCACTCATCTGACCAAATAATTTTTGTATAAAAAAGCGGATCTTGTGCCACCATATTTAAATAAAAATTACAAAATTGCAATCTTAGGCCTCTGTCATTTTCCTCTATGGATTGCACTTTTTGTGGCACATATGGTTTAAATTTATGTTTTTTAAGTATTTTCTGCACAGTTGCTTGTGATGAATCAATGTTACTTGCAATTTCTCGAGTTGATGTTCTTGGATTTTCTTCAACACTCAGAAGAACATCTAATTCTGTATTTCTTCGAAATCGGCGTTGTTCTAATTTAGGTTTTCTAAAAGCCCCAAAACTTCGCAAAGATCCTTCAAGCCGGCTAAATTTTCGACGATTCGGAACTTCTTTGAACGGAAATCGCTCAATGTAAAGGCGTAGTGCTCTTCCACTATTTTTATTGCATTCAAAATATACTTGAATCATGTCTGTTAAATCATTGTAATCCATAATTAACACCAAAAAGCAAAACAATGTGATGGGCACAGGGTGGGGGTACCCCATACTCATGCAAACGGCAGTAACCCAAGGCGATTTGAAGAATCGCGCGAACTAAATTTAAATATTGACAGCGCAAGCAGTGTTGTCAAGTTTGGCCAAAAGAAGTGATCGTCTAGAAAATAGAAAAGGAGACCCTACGTTGTGTTATTTTAGTTCGCTTCTAGATAGGTGGAGTAGCCAATGAGAGGAGACCAGATTAGGTAATAAAACACAATAAGTATGGTTGTATGTTTTCTCTATTCATTGTTTGTTTACAATGGAGTTTTTACAAAGGTTTGGGTGACGGTAGTTAGCGTTTTATGTATTGCAGTGTTTATTAAATATTGGTTTTTAGTTAGCGTTTGTTATTTGGACTTTGTCATACCAAGCGTTAATAAAGCAGATTTATAAAATGTTACAAGTGCAATTTACCCCTCCCAACAATACAACAGGTTATAAAATGAATATTATTGGATGCAAACCGTTTTGTCTAGTGTATTGAAACCTTTTATAGCTATCTAAACATATTCCGCTACAGTGTACATAATAAATGCATAGTTTCCATATTACATATCACAGTATGACCCCTTTGGCGGTTAGGAACTCTATTGGCGAGCTCTAGTCTTGTGAAGAGATTAGATTAGATTACCTTATTTAATAATAATAATACCTCCTATCACCCTCTTCCCTATCGCGAGCAGGCACAATACATTAGACAAGCATTTTTCACGCCCGTCCGCCATCTTACGGAGCAAAAAGCCGCGTAACGTACTCTCGGCTACATATCCCCAAAACACAACAAATCTACATTATTAAACTTGGTTAAAAGATACAACCACCTTAGTTAGTTAATTTAAACAAGGTAAAGGATCATTTTAGCTTACCTACAAGGTTTATTTCACAACACGAAAACCCCCGATTCACTCGGACGAACCTTTTCCTTCACCTGTTGCTTCCATAGAAAAAGGATATAAAGGATAAAGGATCTCCCGCTCAGTAAGTTTTTTGATCCCCACCCAACCTATTGCGACAGGGCCGGCTTTAGCGCGCTCGGTTAAACAGGACCCCATTTGAAATATTCATAAAATACCAAACCGTACAACCCAAGTAATTAAACGTTATATAATTCAAGTATTTTTAAGAAAGGGCAACGCTGCATTATTTTAAATGTCTAATTTCGAATAGGTAGGATGCTTTACGTGTAGATGTATTCTTGGTTGCGTTTTTCTCGTTTGACGGAGGGCGGGTCAACACAACAATAATAGCGAATACGAACTAATGATAATTTTTAACGTTATTTGACCAAATTATTGTTTTCCACTGCCTACTTTAATGAATACATTAATAAATGAAGACACCGGTGCAAAAAAGAGGCAGCTCCATTCAAGCAATTTTTTCGGGAGAAGCAAAAAAGCTGTTTTATTAAGAATTTCCTTAATTTATATATTTTAATCATATGCATGCACGGTTTATTCCAAATAATAAACGACAATAAACCATGCAACTTTGTCTTAAGAAGTAGGTATTGCAATATCTTTAAAAAATAATGGAGTTATTTAGGGCGTTGTTGTCCACTGCCAACTTTAATAAATACATGAATTGACGAATATCTCACTAACGATTGCTTTTAGGTATAGGGAACTATTAGGCTTTTTGACAGATAATTTATCAATGAATCCAAAAATGATAAAATATACAGGGTGTTCTATTTAAAAAACTGCAATTGATGTCACTTCCGGAGAAACCGGAAGCAGCATTAATTAAAAGTTAATCCCAAAAATAGACGGTAAAAAACTGTGTATCTTTGTTAAAAAAAATATTGTCCTATCTTAAAAATATTGGAGTTATGGCTTGGGGCGTTTTTCACCCTGTATATATCTTTACTTTTTTTGGTTTTGTTTTAAGGAAATATAGTACTAATAAAAATACACCATTTTTAATACTATCATAATTTATTAATTTGTTATAATTTATATACACATATCTAATTATATTTCAACTTATTGTCAAGAACTCTTCATGGTTGATATTAACTCCACATGTTCAGACATTGTTTTATAACATTCATCAATCAATTTTGGCAAGTCCTCTTTGGTATGATTTTTTGTCGATATTGCCGGTAAAATTTGTATGTGAACATGACCTGTTAAAATAAAAAATATGTATATGCGTATAAGCTAGAAAGCCGGCTAAATTAGCAAATTGGTGGAATTTTTTTTATTAAAATGGTAAAAACAGAAAAACAACTGAAATAACATTTGTATAAATGGGACACCCTTTATATTTTTACGTATTTTAAAAAACAATTAAATTTGGAACTACCCTTTAATTAAAAATAAACAATTAATATAAGCACTTGAAATGTATTATTGTAATTATGATTAGATTAATAAGCATTTGTTTTTAAGTTAAGGGTAGTTGATAGTATGCAATAATAATTATAATTATACATTTATTGAACCAATTACTACAAAATAACAACAAATTAAAATTACATAATAAGTTTAAAGGACCATATTAAGATTTCCATCTTATTCCTCCCCTGGCCCCAAAAGTTGTTAAATATAAATAAAATTGAAATAAATTGTTAAACGGAAATAGCAAAGTTAAGGGATCATAGAATTTTGCATTAAGCATCTACATGTACTTTAATTAATATTTAACTAGGTATTTTGTTCAAATTTCGGTCAAATTTAGCTAGTGATCGAACTATTTTTTATATTTTGTGGTAATTTATAAAATACCATAAAATATAAAAATTTGTTCTAGTCCATAGGCTATAGCCCATAACCCATGTCTGCCAAATATTTTGAGTTTGATAGAGGTGTTGTCTTGATTTTCTATAGAAGTCGGTAAAGATTATGAGGATATATGCAAATTTATAAAGACATATGTCTTTATAAATTTGCATATATTTTCATAATCTTTACCGACTTCTAAAGAAAATCAAGACAACACCTATATCAAACTCAAAATATCGCCAAACATGGGAACTAAGTTTTAGAAAGATTGAGGCAGCTTTTGGAGTATTAACCCGAAATTAATTTTAGCGTGCAATACATTAACAGCAGATTCAACGTATAAAAATAGAAAAAAGTTCCTATAAACATAGGTCGAGAAATGCTTCTGAAAGCCCCCGAAAGACGAGCCCCTGATGATGGTTTTTAATTTGAAATTTTGAGAATTGATCAAACTCCCTGTTAAATTGCATAAAATGTCACCTGTTTTGAATAATTTTTCCTAAACATGGCAGCCGTGTTCCATGGCCCAAGCTGAATCTTGAAAAGTAATTTTCATATCGATTTTAAGCGAAAATGGAAAATATTATCGAAGTTCAACAAGAGGACCTTTTTGTGTGTTAACCTCCAAAACGAAATAATCTGACATCAAATCCTGGGACAAGACACGTACAAAAAAATTTGGTTTTACCCTTACTCCCTATCTATCTAACCCACTCCTCATGGAAAATCTGAAACTGTTATTCCCAGGTAGCATACTGACGTCTGCTGACGTTTAAATGACGTCTTCTGCCGTCATTTCAACGTCATTTAAACGTCAGCAGACGTCAGTGTGCTACCTATTACATCTTATTGCCCATAAAAAGTTTTATCAATTCCCAAAATTTCACGTTTCCATCTTGAACGGTATTAAAGATATTAAATAAAAAGCATCTTCAGAAGCTCCTTTTTCGGGGGCTGTAGCTCTCTTAGGAAACATTTCTCGACCTATGTTTATAGGATTTGTTCTTATTTTTGTACGTAGAATCTGCTGTTAAAGTATTGCACGCTAATTATAGGACACCCTGTATTATGAGATCACCTATGCTTGCACCCACGGTGGACAGAAATTTGTATTTAGCAACTTTTGTAACTAATCGCTAAATCTTTGTTTTTATAGAATATTCAGATGTAAAAAACCATGGAATGCCTTCATTAAACTAAGAGCTTCTGGACTTTAGAAAAAAAACTTCAATGATGAACATATTTACAAGGAGGCAACTGAGGTTGGGATTTTCCTGATTTTTACTTTGTGAGAAAGCAATATCATTTATTTTTTTCAAAAAGTTACAAGCTTCTACCACAAAATAGGAAATTGAACAGCACTAAAAATAATAAATTTTTGGAATTTGTCAAAGTTAAGGGAAACAAAAAATGATATAAAATAAAATGCAACAAGTAACATTAAAGGATATTTAAAATTTTAAGCAATGCGTCAAAAATGGCAATGAAGATTTAGAAATCTGTTCGCGAACTTTAACTAGTACCTATATGGTAAAAATAAATAACTGCATACAAAAATCAAAATATATTTTGATAATAATTGAACTGAATTCTTAGCTATTGGGAATTTATAGATTAATTCTTTATTTTACATCAATCACTTAATCCAGAAAATATACTGTAATATCGGCTTTTCAAACAACCAATTGTACCGTATAAACCTGAAACCGTAAAAAGAATGTACTTTTTGACGCCCCATAGTTTTAAATATGTACTTGCTCAACTTAAAAAATGCGAACTCAATAAATTTGTACTTTTGGCAACAACCAATGAAAATTTTTCAAATCCATGCCATTTTGCCTTGCCGTATTTTCCGATTCAGATATAAAAACCAATTGGACAATTCATTGTCATTATTTTGTACTGATGTAGCAAATGAAAGTTGTAAAAACTAATTACGCAAAGAGATAATCTTCATTCATAATGAAGATCAGAACAAATCCATCATCATAATATTCACCAAGAGAAAAACATATCTTACTGTAACTGAAAAACTCAAAACAGCTTTATTGGCAATAAATTATTGCTTGCAATAAATTATTGCTTGCTACTCCATAACAAATTTAATTAAATTAATTAGTATACCTATGCATCTGACACTGAAGTTTTCACTCGAATTAATACCCTCACCCACCTATAAAATTAATGGAGATGGAATCGATGTTTCTGTGAGTGCTGTTAGATAGCAAAGTTTGCTGAGCAAACTGACTACCCGTTCAATCATTTGAGTGATGAGGGTTTTTGAAATGACGCAATGGTGAATACTGAAAATATAATTCCAATAGCTAGCTAGCTAGCCTTGATGATGATGGCCCAAGTGATAATAACGATTCACGTGCACCAGCAAACCGATTACCTATTCAATCGAAATGAAATTTAAATACAATTAAACATGTGTGATAAGATTTTGAGAAATGACGAAATAATTTTAATAAATGTTCCTATTATTATAATTCAGTAAGAATTTTCTATCGGGCCGCAAAAAAACAAATGTTTAGTTTTATTTGTTTTTTTCTGTAATAATGGATATTTTTTTAAACATAAAATAATGTTAAGTTGTTGATTGCTATATTTTCCAAAAAATTAAATTTTTCCGAAAAAAGGACTGGGAAAACTAAAACAGTTTTCCCTCAATTTTTCTCTTTTTTCCGAGACATTAAAACCCTAGTCCAAATGAATATAATTTTATTTTACCATATAGTCCCATCCAATTCTACCGCTCACCCAGAATGTATAAAGGCATATACAATTGTATAAAACCATATACAATTGCATATAACTCTATAGACTCGGATATAAACTTATAGGAAAGCATAATAATAATAATAATCGCATACAATCAGATTTAATCTTATACTATTATATTTAATTTTATATGATTCTATACAATCATATTAGAACTGTATGGTCTCAATTTTTTTATCCAATTATATACAATTGTATATGATTGTATACAATTCTAACCAATCATTTTTCATCGGGCATAAATTTAATTTAATGTTATTTTTGTGAATATTTCGGAAACCCGACCTTTAACTGTTTTTCTCTTTTCAAAATTTTAATCAGAAAAAAATGCTACTAAGTTGCTAATTTAACCAAATTTGTAGTTCCAATACGTTGCTATTACTATAGTGACAGAGTTTAACTATACTTATACCTATAGGTATTTATTAAATTTTCTTTGAATTTGGGCAGTTTACAGGCGCGGATCCAGGATTTCGTTTAGGAGGGGGCAATTTTTGTGTAATTTTACCTATCTCCAGAAAAATCGTTCTAAACAAAAAATTGTATAACATTTAAGTATGTTATCGATGTAATAGTTGCATTTGAATAATTCTTTGTTTGCCTGTCTTATGAATAATAACACATAAGCATAGATAACAAGAAAAAACCATATTTGAAATTGGTCAAAATAAAGTGCTTTGGTAGTGAGTCAGGGCAATTGCACCCATTGCCCCCTGTATCCGCGCCTGGCAGTTTATACATAAAAAATCCGTAGGTATATACGTAGGTCCGTTGATCACACCTAGAATCCGTTAATCTACGGATTCGTTAAGCCAGGTCTGCAATTGTGCAAAAGCCGGCTTACTTCTTCGTGAAACCAATCGTAATGTTGATATAACAAGCACTATGATTGGTTTGACGAATATGTAAATCCCGGTCTACAATTGTCGCAGATATGAATACTGTATACCGGGCTTGACATCTTACGCATTTTTAAAGATATCTTCTCATATGATAAACTTAAAATTACCATTGTCAAATCTGTTTTTTCCTAAAAAGGTATATCTGCTAACACAAACAGGTTGGATTGGACACCCTGCGTCAAGAGCCAAATGGAAAGCTCCTTTTTTGAAAGGTACTAATTTTTTTTTTAAATTTCTAGTGCCTTCGGGGAACATTAAAATTCGAGCCTGAAATAAAGAAAATATAAGTAACTGTATTTCATATAATAGATTTAAAATGTATTTATGGCAAAACACCACATTTTTTAAACATCTACAGTAGCAGTGCCGAAATGGCCTAGAGAAGAGCCTAGTCCTCACTGTAGCAAATTTGTATTTGTTTGCTTTATGTAGGTATTAAAGTTCTGAATATAAAATAGGTTATTTACTAAAAAAGTGATTTAATGTGGGCAAATTTAGAGATATCACCAGTCAAGTCAAGTCAATATTTCTATTCTAATAACTTATATCATTTTGTATGTTCTATAAAGTGCATATATATTAAACCAAATGGTGGACCGCCAGGCAATTTTTTGCGGACCTTAAAGACCCTGTAGGATTCCTACAGTAGGAATTAAACTTCAAACAGCTAGCTCAGAACAAAAAATGTAATTTTTAATATTAAAATTTAATAATTTTTTTATAGAGGAAGAGCATAGCAAATAAGTCTAATAAATATTATTTTTAATACACCTTTTAATTTACTTCTTGTTTTATTTTTAATTTGAAATTCGTCAGCAGTCCGGACTGCAACAATCTAGTTATAATACTTCGGACCTCCAATAAAAACTAATTGGTGATCCCTGCTCTAGATACAGAGTAGGGGTGTAAATCCCGGGATCCCGAAATCCCGGGATCCCGTAAAAAATCCGATCCCGAAAATCCCGGGATTAAAAGTCCCAATCTTAGTAATAAGTTACAAAGAATAAAATAGACTTTTTTTTAAGCGTATGATATTTTTCATATTATAATACTCATAAGCATATATATAAACACTTCATTTTTTTACTCAGTTGAAGTCAAATTATTATACACCGCCGTACAATAATGAAAATACATTGAAATTACATAGCAAGAGTGCTTCCATCTATAGCATAAAATTAGCAAAGAAAATGTAAAATTACAGGTCACTGTAGAATAAATTTATGTACATAACCTATAATATAACATATTTTAAATGTCAAACCTGAAAAAATGTCACAAACTTGATAATTTCAATGTAAGTTACAGCCCCAATTGGAACTTACCAAGGCCCGATTGATAAAAGAAATGGAAATATTTGTTAATGGGGGTAAACGTGGGTACAATGTGCCTACGAATTCTTAAAAACCATTCTTCCGACTAGTGTGAAGTCCGAAAGATACCGTTCGTTAGTTTGTTTGTTGTTTTATTTTAAATTGGTTTTAAAATTAATGATATATATTTTTTTGGGACTGATCCCGGGATCCCGGGATTAGTTACCTTTGGTCCCGAAAGGCCCGGGATTGGAAAATGGGCTCGGGATTGACACCCCTAATACAGAGGCGTAATGATAACGACTATAGGTGTCGAGCTAAATCACGACTATAATAAAATTATACGAATCAGAAGCATTTATCCAGAGTCGTCTGACAACATTAACAGGGGTTTTTCATCCAAAGGACTCGTATCCAGGCCAGAAACTTATTTAAAAAAATTTATATGGGATTCTCTGACTGATTTAGTTCTGCTTATAAGCCCTATCGTAACGTTGCTGTTGCACAATCTTGATGGTTTGTAGTTATAAAATTCCGACACAATTTAAAGGAAAAAGAATAGCAAGAAAGAACGGACGGCCAGGTTCTTAACTTAAGTTAAAAATTATATTTACCAAAATAAAAGCTGCTCCTCTTTTCGAAATTTTTTGAAAATTCATGATTTTTTTTTTAAATTTTTGTTTATTTCAAAGTCGACCTTTGACACAGTACACAGTTGTACACCGCTTTTTATAAAATTAGATATTATTGAGTAGACTTAAAGAATACTTTTTAATACTGTTTACATCATTTGATATATTCAGGGTGAGCCAAAAATCGCTTATTTTTAATAAAGCAAAAGCGTAAATTCATGATTTTGGCATAACACGCAAAAAAGATTTATCCCCATTTTTTTTAGATATTTCTACGTTTATCAGGTTACAAAATGACATTCTTATTAACCTTTTATAAAAGAATAGATTTTTAATAAAATTAAATAAAATAACGCTTAGAGAATATTTAAAATGTTGTTTAATTTAGGCTTTTTAGTAGTTTTCTATTTTGAACGAAAAACTGATTAAAGTTTTTTGATCGGCACTCTTTGGAGATTTAAAAACGACATTTATTAAAATTCTACCTGGTCTTTTTAAATTTGTTAAAAAATCATTTTTTTTTATTATTTGTTTATCGCAAAGTCTACATTTGTACACCCATTTTTATTGATTGCAGTTTCTTGTTCGGGACCCTTTGGTAACTTTAAAGTGATATTTACCAAAATCCTAGCTGCTCCTATTTTCGAAATTTTTTGAAAATATTCTTAATTTTTTTTTAATATTTGTTTATCTTACCTTTGACACCGATTTTTATAATATTGGGGTATATTGTTAACGAGACTTGGAGTATACTGTTTTCATACTGAGCACATCATTAGATTTATAAAGGGTTAGCCAAAAATCACTTTTTTATATAGTAAAAAGCATAATGCACAAAAAAGATTTATCTCCAAAAAATGTTATTTTATTTAATTTTATTCAAAATCAATTTTTCTTATAAAGTCTTAATAAGAATCCCATTTTGTAGCCAAATCTCCTTAACAATATACTCCAATATAATACAAATCGGTGTACAAATGTGTACTCTGTCAAAGGTAGACTTTAAGATAAAACAAAAATCATGATTTTTCAAAAAATTTCGAATTGAGGAGCAGCTAGGATTTTAGTAAATATCATTTTTAAGTCACCAAAGGGTCCCGAACAAAAAACTGCAATCAGTTTTTGGCGGCATTTTTATGTGACTTAAACTTCGTTCAGGCACACCGTGAATAGCATCTATAATTGTTATAAAAAGTCAACTTTGAACTGCATTTCAGCACATTGTTTACCTATACAATCAGCGTAAATGCAGTTTAAAATTGCTCAACGAATATTTTAAACGATTTGGGTTTATTTCTGACATGAACTATTTTAAATCTCTTTTAAAAGAAGACCTACACAAGCATTACAATAATCTAAACATATTACTACGGCATTACATCGAGCAAAATGAGAAACTCCAGGTCCATTCACAAGACTTACATTTAAAAAAATTGCATAAAATGTATCCAAATTTTTATATCGATCAGAATTATGCTAATAATTCCAGTTAGCCATTTGTTACTCTTGCTACGTGGCATTTTCGGTACCAGTAGGTATACTGGAAACACAAATTCGAAAAATGTGGTATTTTGCGATAAATATTAGAGTGTGTCATTTTTGAGCAACTTTTTTTTTTAACTAAAAAACAGGCTAAAAACTTTCAGGAAGGTGAAAAAAGAAGCCTCTAAAAATTTGAGCTCTTAATAATAACATTAAGTGGTGCCTGTTCCTAACTTTCCATTTTCCATTTAAATAAAAAAAATTTCTTTTTTCTTATTTTTGTATCTTGACATTTAAGCATTGTAAAAACGAACTGAAAAAATACTTTGGTAGGAAATTGAACGGTCTACAAAAGAGTTCTAATTTATTTTTTCATAGAGTAAGCCGCTCTGAAGGTATTCAACATAGAAAAAGGATATTCAAACTTGCAAATGTATGAAATTATGACTTTTATTTTATTAAACTAATACTTTTTTATGTCTTAAAAATTATTTTAAGAAAAAATAATTATTTTCGTATAGAAAGAAAATACCACTTACATCTCAATTTTTTTCCATTTTATTTTATTTACTATCAAAAAAATTATTTGTGTTCAATAAATTTGTTCAATAATTATAATAGATTAAATAAAACAATGAATTTGTTATTGTATTGAATTTTTAATCTTTCTTTATTTTTTATAATTTTAAAGTTGATAACTCTGATAAAAGATTATATCGGCTCAGTCGGTATATTACCGTTCGGATTACACAGTGACTAGAGGCACGCGTGCCTCGATTCGAAATGTTAAAGGCAACTTTAAGTTTGAATACCCAGTGGCGGATTTACCAGCAGGCTGAGTAGGCTCGAGCCTAGGGCGGCAGATTTTGGGGGCGGCAAATTTGGGGAACGATTTTTTTTTACCTCATAGAAATCAAAAAGATTTTTCTATGACGGTTTTCTGATGTCTTACAGATAGAAGTCTGCAACAAATTTTGTCGATGACTTTTCTCTCTCACTTGTCATTGCACATTCCGAGAGTAGAAAACTTCCATATTCTAGAGTAAAACAGCTAGTTCGCCGCCCCTCAACCAGTAATCGGCCTCTCGCCTCTGCGCCCTTTGCCCACACTTCTTATGAGTGAAAAGAGCGATATTGTAAAAAATATGCTCCTCTTCCCACTAACAACCCATACATGCCAGTCTTACTACTGGTTGGAGGCTACGAACTGGATGGTTTGTATATAATTTTTCGATTTTTATTCGAATATAATGAATAATTTAGTGAATAATTTTACCGATTTCAATTTTATGAATCGACTATTATGTGTTTCACATGCACTAGTAGCTTTAGAAAATTCGATTGGAATTCAAAAAAAATCTTTGTGCATAGAGTCGGAATTAATGAACAAGATTACTTACGACGACATCATCGATGATTTTGCCAACAAAAAATCGCACAAAAAGGCATTGTATCGAACTTCTATTTCGTCGTAAGTAATCTTGGTCATTAATTCCGACTTGACTGAATTGATTATTTTTAACTGTTTGAAAGCACAATAAAGATTATTTATTCACGTTTACCAAATGTTCATTATTGTGTAAATAGCATACATTACCCCGCCCATACATGATTGAGCTTCGATTAGCTCAAAAATATACCGAAAAATTATTTTACGTGCAATTTCAACGAAATTGTTGAATTGTAAAAATAATGTATGATATGACAATTGTTGAGGCAAGGGCGGCAAAAACTATTCAGCCTATACCTTGAAAATTTGCAAATCCGCCACTGTGAATACCTTCAGAACGGCTCACTCTATGAAAAAATATATTGAAACTTTTTTGTAGAGCGTTCAATTTCCTACCAAAGTAATTTTTCAGTTCGTTTTTACAATGCTCAAATGTCAAGGTACAAAAATAAGAAAAAAGAAAAAAAAATTGTCCATGTTATTTAAATGGAAATGGAAAGTTAGGAACAGGTACCACTTAATGTTAATATTAAGAGCTCAAATTTTTAGAGGTTTCTTTTTTCACCTTTCTGAAAGTTTTTAGCCTGTTTTTTAGTTGAAAAAAAAAGTTGCTTAAAAATGACACACCCTAATAAATATCCATAAATCGATCCAGGTATTTATATTAAAAAGGGTTCTATAAGCACGATTCGTCGATATGACCGTTAAACATTATTACCTTATAATTTCTTATGGCTTGCTCAGTCTTGCTCACTTTTGTTCTGGAATCTTTGTTATCAGATCTGTTAATAAAAAGGGTGCCCCATAACCAAGCGGCTGATCCAAAAGGTTGTAAATAAAGTACTTCCTTTTTCGAAACAACTGTACAATTATCCATTATTGGCCAAAGATATGCTAAAACTATTTAATTCTGTTAGTTCTGTTTCGGTACTATTACTATCTTACTTATCAAATCCAACGCGCTTTGATGATTAATCAAAATTACACATCCTGATCCTTTAATTATATTTTCATGTCCTTCAACGGTGTAGGAAAGCCCCAATAATGAAGCAATGTAACGACAAAACAAAGCAGGCATTCTAAACAATTCTAACTCGTTAATATTTATTTTATTATACAAAAATATTATTCAACTTACAATGCATTTTTGCTGTCTCTGGGTTTTACTAACATAATTGGAATACAGGAGGTGGCAGCTATTAAACTAAGTACACTAAATAAAATAAATTTAATGTAATATCTTGTTGCTGAACTTATCGTCCACATAAGCACAACAAAAGTTATCAACAACACTGGATACATTAGGATCCCCATTTCTGGAATATAAAAATAAGTATTAAATGTTTTATTTTACATGTAGCCTACATGATGTAGGTAATGATTAAAAATAAAATAAAATTAACCTTCACAAAATATTGTAAAAAATCAATTCATAAAATGATGTAAAAATGGAATTAACTGTTTCTACTTTCTGAACTTCTAAAAATTAAAATATGCATTGTTTCATAAATTTTAATTCATAATGAAAAATTATTTATTTTTATCTACACCTATTGAATAATATTGGGCTTTTCCAGTGGCGTGCAGAACGGGCCCCGCAGGGCTCGCAGTGCGGGGGGGGGGGCGACCACAAGAGGCCCCCTAAGGACCCACATCATAACTTATTAGAAGGTTCATTTTTTGGGTATTTAGGTGGACTAAAAATATCTTTAGTTATTAATAATTTAATAATTTAACCCTTAAATCAGTATTACAGTCTGCAATTCTATGTGCAATCAATGATGGGCAAGTACCCGGTATATTGAAATTTGGGTAAATACCCAATGAGTATATACCACGCTTTGAAGCATTGCTACTTTGTTAATTTAAGGAACTCTAAGAAGTGTTGTTAAATTAGGCCATTTTATTAAAAGTAATTGAAATAAAACAAAAAATAATAATAAAACACGTTAAGTTTTGTAAACGCCATTTTAATTGCGAGTTTTATTAATTTAAAGCCAATTTTATTTGTTATAAATTTGACTGTCAACGGTTTAAACCTCACTTTTTTTAAATTTATAATAAAGCTAACTTCAGCCCGCGACTAAAATTGTCAAAAGCCACTATTTCTAACTTCAGCCCGTGACTAAAACGCCATAAAATCACTGCTCTCCAATGTAGGAGTAGATAAAAGGTCTTACATGTCGCTTGAATTATTAATAGGTACCTATACAGAAAGTAATAAAACCAGGTACCTACCTAACAATATCACTTCTTTTTCTGTCACAAACATGTTTTTGTGACACCGCGATGTCGGAAAATCAGCTTTACTTTAAGATTTAACGTATATATATTGGTAAAATATTTGTCAATGATTGTAAAAACAAAAGCAATAGTACTAAACTAAAATAGCAATTGAACGATTATGACTCAACCAATGACCGCAATCAGAGCCGTAGCCAGCAAGCATTTTAGCCCAAGCAATAATTCCGAGCCCTCACATGGTAGAAAATCCTGCATGAAAGAATACAAATAATACAATCTATAGATTGTCTGTATACAGACCACAGAACAAAACAAATGAAATTTATTTTATTCACATGGGTTATAATAATATACTTACCACAAGGTAAGTATATGGTTATAATAAACTTTATGGCGAATGTGGTGAACTAGCCTTTTGATTAGCTGCCGTTCGCAATTCGAACGGCAAAGTTAAAAGTTGGTCAACTCGAGAGGCAACTGCAACGGCAGCGTCATGACGCGTCAGGCGAACGTCAAACTAAAAATGACATGTTTAACTTTTGAACTGGAACTGCAACGACCAACGTCAACGCAACGTCAGATCTATAAATCCCGCTTAAACCCTTTCCTGCCGTCCCTAACATTTGAGACAACTAGTATATATACCTATACCTATTTGCTTATTTGTTATTATAGCAAATATTCTGGGTGTTATAGCAAATATTCTGGGTGTCTCACTGCAGGGCTTATTCGAACTTGCAGTTGGACACAAAATGTGCAGTAGAAAAAGTAACTTGTGCAGTGCACTGCACAAGTGGCAATGGCCAATTTTCCAGAAAAACTGGCAATAAATCTGAAAATGCTCCGATTTAAGCCAAACTTTGTGTACTGTGGTTTCTTGGGTAACTATTTCCAAAAACCCGACACGAAAACTGCGACCAAAAATGCACTGGTGCCTCCTGGCACAAGATCTTGACTACTAATATTAACGTTAAGTAAAGTTTATTAGCTTTTCCCTAGCCTCATTTTTAGACTCTTCGCTTGCCTCATTCTCATTGGCATTGGCCTCATCAAAAACACCTTTGTACATACCAACTTTGTTGTTTGGCCTTTGCGGTTGCCTCGACTGTGTGCTCACGCCTATTTAACCATATCAGTGTGGCTTGTCGCGAATCCCACTCGAATAAAAAAGTTGTGATAAATTTATATACAAATATTTATTTTTAGAATCTACTGACAATAAATTCCGAGAATTGCTTTTAGAGTATTGGTACTTATATTAAGTCTTTCCACGCCCGTACTATGCAATTTGGCAGCCAAAATTCGCGCAAAAATGTTAATTCAAGACCACCGTAACTGAAAAAACATTAAAATGAGATAATCAGGCTTAAAGTTTTGCCAAGGTTAAGGAAATTCTTTGAAGAAAGTTAGGATGCTCTTTTTTATAAGTTATTACAAATAATTGCAATGGTCTTGCACACAACATTAAGAGAAATTAGATAAATTTTTAAATGGTGGGTGCACACTTTGACAATACAGATATTTCAGTGCAATATAAATGTATGTGTAATAAAGTTCTTAAAAATAGGCCTTAAGATATTAATATATTAAGTACCATAACCACCATAACTCAAAACTGTTGATTTTTGAGTTATGGTGTTCTTGAACTGGATGTGCGATATGTCTGTGCTGTGCGAAAAAAATTCGCCGTGTCGACTAAAGTACGGTTGAGTGACACTTAAATCAATGATAGTACTATAATATTTTAATACTAGAATATAGTTAAGTTAAAAGTCTGAAATAATAAAAATAATTAATGGGTTTTAGTGCAATTTAACCCAACATGCTACATTCCTACATCGTTGCCTTTTTTTTGATAACAAAAATCCTAAAATGCCTAAACCTTGCTTAAATGCTTAAAATATGAAACATTACATTATACCTTTCATTTGCCTTACTATATAGGTAGGTACTTACCAATATTTTGTTTAATGTCCTTTTTTTTAATTTTTTTTAAGGTAGTATCTAACTCCATTTTAAAAGGTTGATAAATAAATAACAGTAGGCCGTGTCAGCAAATTCAGCGGTAGGTAGTAAAAATTAAAAAAATGTATTTTACTTAACAAATTAATACCTACTTTATTACAAACATAGATTACTTTAAAGTATCATTAAACACTAAAAACAACGTAAAAAGTAAATAAGTGACAATATAAATTGTTAATTTGTTGTAATAATGGCAAAATTAAGGTTTGAAACTGTAATATTTTTGTGTTTCTTAAGTTGGCAGCAAAAAATTTGACAATTTTAAAAAGGTCTTTTCAAGATTTCAATAAAAAATAATCAATTTCAAGCCATCATGTTGCTCTAGTTTACAAATTTCAAAATTTTTTTTTCAAACAAAATAGGATCATGTATAAATATAACTTATAAAATTATTTTCTTAAAATCTGTAGGTACTGTAAGTCTAAAATTGTTCGGAAATGTGCCTGATGCCTCACAAAATCATATATTAAATTTTAAAGACATTCTATAAAAACTCTTAAATGGAAATACCATTGGCAAAAAAACAAAACCATCAATTATTTTTTTAAATTATTTGTTTGTATATATATATGTATGTATATTAGAATAATCTTATATAAATAAAATAAACCAGAATAAAATAATATTCCATATTAGGTACCTATTTTGCCTTTTTTCAACTACCTAAAAGTCCATTCTTTACACATAAATATTTAAATAATATTTTTTATAGAGCGTTAACGTTTATCCGCTTCACAATACCTTCCAAAACGTAAAAATAAAAAAACGGAAATACATTCGATATTACTCAGTGTTTAAAGTAAAATGCTACTTGTAGCGCCCAGAATCGTGTTTGTGATGACCAGATACAAAATTTGGAAGTTGAATTTGAAACCCAACCAAAAATCCTTTCACCGAAATCGAGGTAGAGGTTGAAATTTCCGCAAATTCCATAGAAAATAACGGTAAACTTTTTGATATATTTCTAATAAATTTATATTCTTATCGATTCTAATACAAGTGTATGGTCTACACTTTTATTTAAAAAAAATAGGGTTAATGCTAGTAAAAAAAGTTTACTTGCCAAAATAAAAACAACTTACCACAAGGTAGCAAAAGAAGTTTTTCAAACCAATATTTTTTAAAAACTTTGCCAAATGCCATTTGGCAAATCTGTTTAAGGCACTTGGTAAGCATATTCGGAAAATAAACAGACTTTGTGTTTTGTTTCCCATGCAGCAAAGTTATTTGTGAATGAATCTAGTTCATTGGAACTGGATGGATTTCGAGATTAGCAACATTTATCGCAAACCTTATACCTTATAAACTTATCAAGCCGACATGAAATTTCTTATGATCAGACTAAATATTGCAACAAAATGGTTCACGCAAACCTATAGTGTGGTTCAACATTAGATTATTAACACGAAGAGTGGTTCATTGTATGGAGAAATAAATTTTGTTGAATCTTCACTTCACATAACTCATTTTTTATATGCTATTTAATAAAATTCGTACCAAATTTGATCACTCTAGGTTGTCAGTATATTGAATCGTTCATTAAAGGCATTGTATTTAAAATGACAGCAAGTAATACTCCAAACTGGAGCTTTGACAAAAATCTTGTACGTAATCTCATGGAGGTTATACTTTCAGCTGCTTCTTATCTTTGTTTGGCTCTGTAATGGTCCAGAATATGGACTATTCAAGCATGGTCGCCGGAAGGAATTCGTCTATGGGGGGGCCCTTAAAGTTTTGTACAATTTTGATAGATGTTATTTATAATCAAGTTGTACTGTAGAAGTTCACATTAAACTTAAGTCAAATAAAATATCATCTTTATATGTATATTTGTAAATTTCACACAATATATTAGCGCCATCTGTTTATCAATTCACTAGGCTTATGAAGAAATCTATTCTATAGTCGACTTTTTCAACGTAGATAGTTCGTATATAGAAATATGTCAGCCAAGAGCGTGTCTTACTCAGCGATGGGCAAGATCCGGCAAAAAGGATTTAAATCTAAATCCATAAATCCACACCATAAACTGGATCTAAATACTCAA